CCCCCGGTTCATCGTGGAGGGTCACTCCCACGTCCCCTCTCAGCTCCTTGCCCTTCATTTAGCTTCGGGGGTACAGGGAACTCAGGGTTGAAAGCTGTGGCGGAGCCATGACTAACATAGAGGACATAAACATAGGACATAACCCATAAAGCATTGGGAATTGCCTTTGGCAGTGAGGGTCCACGTAGACACACAGATCTCTCTGCTTACCTCTGGCCTTTTTTTTAAATTTTAAAACCCTTTTCAATAACTTACTATGTGATTCCCCTGCTAAGTTGGCACCCATCTGGCACCATCAGATTGTTCTGTGCATTTATGGGCTTGTTTCTGTTTGTTTGTTTGTTTTTAGATTTCACATTTGAAATGATAGAGTGTCTTTCTCTGTCTGACTTCTTTCACGTAGCAAAATAACTTTTAGGTCCATTCTTGTTACAAATGGTAAAATTTTATAATGGCTATCATCAATAAATCAACAAACAAAAGTGTTGGCAAGGATGTGGAGAGAAGGAAACTCTCGTGCACAGTTGATGAAATTGCAAATTGGTGAAGTCACAATGGAACTCAGTATGGAGGTTTATTAAAAAATTAAAACTGCCATATGATGACTAGCAATCCTACCTCTGGATATTTATCTGAAGAAATCCAAAACATTAATTAAAAAAGACATATGTACCCGTATGTTCATTGTGGTATTATTTACAATAGCCAAGACATGGAAACAGCCTAAATGTCCATCAGTAGATGATCAGATAAAGAACACAATGATACATATATGCAATGGAGTATTATTTGTTCATAAAAAGAATAAAACCTCTGGTCTTCTTCAAGGAAATGTGACCAAGGAAATGTTTAACTCCTACGAACAAGATTTTTGCATGGTAAAATTTCTGACCAACAGAGTGGACATCCACTGAAAACTGGTCCTTTCATATTCTGCCTATTGAAGACTTAGTTATATTAGAAGTATTTAATGTGCTTACTATGGTGTCTGCTACATAGTGGGTGCTTATGAACATTAGTTATTATTATTCATCTTGGTTTACATTTTTGATAGTCCAGCTTTCCCACAGGTGGGAGTCTGAGCACCACGCTTATGCTTGTAACTATGAGAGTCAGTGTGACAGTCACATCAGCATGAAAGTGGGCTCAATAGTCACACAAGGGACAGGTATGCGCAGTAGCAGTGGAGTTTTTTTTTTTTATCATAGGACTCTTGTGCATTAAGGTTGGTGCCCAGGTGTGGTTGTCTCCTCATCTCCTGGCCTTTCACTAGAAGAGGAAGAAAGTGAAAAGCGAACTGAGCCCAGATTTGTAGCGATCATGAGAACACACCTGTTTAACAATCTTCCTGCTGCCCAGGCAATTTTCTAGGCTGCTGAGAGTGGAGGGGAGAGATGCTGAATGGCTGGTAGAAATATTTGAGAATCATGGAACTCTAGAGGAGTTTTAAATGATTGGCAAAGGGTCTCATTTTCTGAAGAAGATACTTTTTGATCCTTGGATTGTAAGTTTTATTTCATTTTTCCATAAGAGTCTAAAATAGATTTTTAAAAGATGGTTTGTGGGCATCTTTGGAGGAAGCACACACCCTGATAAATGCCATCTCTCCAAAATTCACAAAGAGCAGGCCAGGCCAGATGGGGGCCGTCTCTGGATGGGTAACTCAGGAGGTCATGCATTTGCCTCTCAGCCAAGAGTTCTAATACACATTGATTTTCATTTTATTTTAGTCCCTGTTATGTGTCAAGTACTGTAAGAAGCACTGAGGATAATTGAGCTAAAATATTTCAGTTTTATGATGTAAAAGTATTGCATTATATTTTTCTCAAGTAGGTGCACATGATTGAATGGTTGAAAATAATTAGGTCACATTAATAACTGGCTTAATATACATTTTTAATAATGATGCTTATATGTTTTAGGATGTGGTGAGAAAATCTTAGTCATTGGCAAGTCTATCCAGAAGATATATATTTTGTCATAAAAATGTATGTATTAATATGAAATCTCATACGTTTTTATGACAAACCATTGAGATAGAAGTAAAATAAGTAAAAGTCTTCCTAAAAATATTCTCCTTTCTCTCCCAATAGCAAGATGTCACCTACAAGCACACTGCACAACCACAAACATGTCACACTAATCCTGGGGGACGGTGTGAGGTGAGCAGGAGAATGTATCTGGAGCCAGAAGGCCATCATTTCAACCTCTATGTACTTAACTCTAAGGAACCATTTCTGTCACCTAGCTCAGGAATTCCTCAAGGTCAAGGACTGTATTGTAACCTTAAAATCTGATAAAGTCCTGGGCCCTCACAAGTTCTCAATAAGCACCTTTTGCAAATTTATTCCCCCCTCCCCTGCTAAAATCTTATTTTGATCTGATATTGCATTAATTATAAAATAGCATCTATATTCATTTCGAATTACTGCTCTATCAAATTGACACAAAGGTAATGGCTTATAACAACACAGATGTATGACCCTGTATGTCCAAATGTCAGAAAGCCCCAAATTGAGATGCTGGCATTCCTTCCTGAGGCTCTCAGGGAAAAGCTGTCTTCTCTCCTCTTCCAGCCTCTAGAAGCCCCACATTCCCTGGCTGTGTCCTCCTTCCTCCCTATTCAAAACAGCAACTCTCTGGCCATTTCTGATTACAGTTCTTTCTCCCACCATTCTGTCTGGAAAGATTGTCTTCTTTTAAAAAAATGATTTCAGAGAGAGGACGAGAGGGATATGAACATCACAGATGAGAGAGAATCATTGACTGGCTGCCTCCTGCATACCCCCCTGCTGGGGACCCAGCCCACAACCTGGGCATGAACTCTGACAGGGAGTGGAACCGTGACCTCCTGGTTCATGGGCTGATGCTCAACCACTGAGCCACACCAGCCAGGCAGAATTCTTTTAAGGATTCATGCATTTAGGCGGGCCTACCTGTATAGTCCGGGATATTACACATAAGGAATCGCACTCACATATTATGTGACTATGTTTAGGATCAGAGTTTGGCCACCTTTGGGAGGCTGTTACACAGCACCCAAATGAGGAAAGGGGAGGTATGAGGCCGTAGACTACACTCAGAGTATTTCACTCTGTTCACTTCCGTCTTCAAATTTGTAACAAAGAAGCAGAGCAGCAAGGAAATTTGGAGTTGTGTCGATCTAAGGGATGCTTAAAGGAATAGATGTTTACTTTAGAAGAAAAAGACCTACCGTATATTTAGGGGAGGTATGTGGTTGCACTTGTAGGAGGCACGAGATGATTACCTCCTCAAAATATCAGGAGGTCCTGTCATGTGCAATCAGAGGACAGAATAGGGTCAATTAACTTTAGGGAAACAGCTTTTGGCAGAAATTAAGGCAGAACTATGTGGACATTACTGATGTCTTAAATCCGACATGCTGGAAATGGCATGGCTTGAGGACTTGGGGAGTCCTTTAAAGAAGATTTGGATGTTAGATGAGGGATCAGATGAGATGAACTCTCAAATCCCATTTAACTTTCATGGTCACTGGTTTTGTGACTTAGAATTCCATTCATGTCCTCTGAGCACCTTCAGTTGCATATAGCAGGAGCTGGCCAAGGCCCCACATCCTTACTGACGCGTCATCTTTGTGTCCTCTTACCAAATATATACCTGAAGATGCCAAACAGTAGAAGTGGCGAGGGAAGCCAGGATAATTCAGATGCCTCTTAGAAGATGAGAATATATGGTGCCTCATTACCATTGAGAATATAAAACCACTTGCCATAGGGACAGTCAAGTTTAAAAATATTATACAAATACCTAAAAATATTCTCTGGCATATTCAGACATGAAAAGAAAACACAAACCATAGAGACAAGGCATGAAGAAAGTGTAGTTCATGGCAATTAGATGGCTTATATGGGATTCAAGTATGACTCATCTTTTGAGGAAATTGAATACTTACAATGAAGAAGGCAAAAGAGAGGACCAAATTCTTTGATCTTAATCCAGAAAACCATATAGTTTTGAGAATTCTTTTTCATCAGTCCACTTTGGGGATGATTATTTGGAATGACTTGTATGAGATCTGGGAGCTGCTGTAGAAAATGCTATTTTTGTGTCAATACTGTGTGCTGCATAGAAGTACATCTTACTTTATTTTCCATCAACATTTATCCCCCTCTTACCTCTACCCCCACTCCTTTCTCCAAGCACTACACTGTTGTCTATCTCCATGAGTTCTTTCTCTTTCTTTTTTGTGCAATCCCTCTATCCTCCCCCAGTACCCTTCACGCAGAGCTGTCTGTCCACTCTCTATTTATGAGTACAATTTAATACTTTAAACAGTTTATTTTACCATATTCTTGGGTATTTTAAGTACACATCTAAATCTCCAGGTTATAAACTTGAATGGTATTCAGTTTTATGTTAGACCATTTGACCTACAAATTATTTCCTGTACCCAAAACATCCAAAACAAATTAAGAAATTAATTACAACTTCAGTTGAATTCAAGAGAAGTCTTTGTGTTTCTTTAGGGCTGTGATTTCTGTATCTTCAGAATAAGTCTTACGTGTCTTTGGGGTTCAATGGCCACTCTAGACTAAGAGGAGCTTGTCAGGCACTTAAGACTGGCCAATACTGTCAAGGCTGTGCCATTCCATCTTCCCTCCACTTCTATGGATTACCCACCAGCGATAATGATCATTCCAGCTCACGATACCCCTCTCCACAGTCAGGGGAAGGTCAGCTATTTTTTGATTCCCATAGGAGAGAGAAAGCTCCTCAATCAGTTTCCTAAAATAGCTGGCCATTCTCAGCTGCTGGGCTGGAGTCCCTCCAGGGGTGAGCAAAGGGAATACAATCCACCAGCTGGTTGTGAGTGAGAAGCCGCCAAAACATGAGCTAGGAGAGGCTTCTCAAGACGGTTCTGCCTTCTCAGAAATCTTTATTCTTTTTTTGTTGAGGAGCTAGGTGTTTGCCATTTAAAATTTTCTTGTTTTGTTTAAAGGGAAACCAGTGAGTTGAAAATGAGACTAAATATCGCCATCTTCTTTGGGGCTCTCTTTGGTGCTTTAGGGGTTTTGCTCTTTTTGGTGGCGTTTGGGTCGGACTACTGGCTTCTTGTGACAGAAGTGGGGAAATGTTCAGGTGAACAGAATGTGCGTTCCTTTTTCCTACTATTCGTGTATTTGGAGAGGAAAGTCTTTTGCTTTCTCTTGGAGTGGGAGAGTAGTAGAGGAGTGCCTATTTCTCCATAGGAGAGACGTGTAGAAAACTAGTGACCATCACTATTGGGGTGGAATTCGTTGCTTGCAAAGCCCCCTGGCCATGAGATTTCAGAGTGTGCTCCTTGTGCCCCGCTTGTGTTCTGTGCAGGTAGAGAACGTGACTTTCCACCACGAGGGGTTCTTCTGGAGGTGCTGGTTCAGTGGGGCCGCGGGGGAAAATCAGCCCGACCTCTGGAAGTTCTGGTACGGTAAGTGCGCTTCTGTTTCACCTCCTTTGCCTTCAGAATAAAAACGAGCGGCTTCTTATTTAGTACCTGTCAGTCACAAAAAGGATTGGATTCTTAGTTGTAGAATTTCAATAGGTATCTCCAAAAGGTCCGGTGAGTAGAAATGGCTGTAGCAATCATTATTTTATTCCAACATATAAGTAGGAGTTTAGATTTTTATCTGTCGTTTTCTTGTTCATATTTAAAATACACCAACACTAACTAACAGACAAGTATTATTTATAGTAGTTTTGAGCGTTCTTTGTTATATTGCAAATAAAAATATTTATTTTTAAAAATATCCAGAAATAGAAATGCATTATTTTAAAAGTTAAAAAATATCTTTTTAAATAATGAAACTTAATTACCACCTCTGGCAGATGAAAGTTTGCTCAATTTGAGTTTCAACCAGGTTTGTGGGCAATAGCAAGAAATGCCTTGTCTTTGATGTTCAAATTCTCGCACAGAAACGTTAAGGTTGTTAAGGTGGTTGAGCAGCTTCTTAAAAAAGTGATGCATTCTTTCAACTTTATTCCTTTTATTGTATTAATCTTCAAAAACAAATTTACTGAAAATAATTAGCCTTTATCTTATTGCTTCCAAGAAAGAAAACTGTTTATCACCCTAAACCTTATTGTGGGTTGACATTATTAGTCTCCTTATGAAATATTACTGTGATAAACCCAAGTATGATATTTACTCAAAAGTCAAAATGATGGAATAGATAAAAAAATATGGGGATGACTTGAGCAAGCTGATGACAAGCAGGCATATGCAAAAGGAACAGCATGTGTAAATGGCATTTTGAGAGGAAGATTTGATAGACTATCTTATAGTCATTTCGGGAGGAAAATAAGCATGTGATGTGTCAAAAATTATTTAGACTGTGGTAAAATGGAGTGAATAAGACTGTGCAAGAGGAAGATTTTGCCAAGGACTTAGAGAAAGGAAGAATATTTCACTGCCCCTTAAAATGTATAAAATGAAGTCTTCAAGTTTTCAAACATAAAAGTTATTTCTTGTGGTTTCTTCAAATGCTAGAAATGTATTTGAATTATTAAGTTTTGTGATCTATTATTTCCATCTTTTCCCTAGAAACAAGTTATAAAGTAAATTTTATATTTATTGGGACTGATCAAGGTTAAACCTAAGCTTATGAGACTTTCATAACTATTATTTTTTAATAATTAAGTATGTGCTAGGCATTATGTCAGAAACTGAAAATATGGGCCTGAAAATAAGGGAGCCAGCGCCTTTGGGTTAAGGTCATGCAAGAAAGGCCTTGTCTGCATTGAATCACGTCAGGAGTCAGATGTTCAGGATGTGTCCAGGTTCCAGGTTCCTCGTGCTTCTTTCTATGAGATTTTTGGGAAGTCTCCCCCTTCACTCAGCAGTTCTCTGAATTTGTTGATCTCCCTACCGTTTTATTTAGCTGATATAACCCAGACTCCTTGCTTCTCTTCTTTAGGAACAGTGCTCACTCAAGTGCTCAATAACATACCACTGTTCTGCTCTCCTTCCTAGGCAATCAGCCGGCATCCAAGACCTGCACACATGCTTACCTGTCGCCATACCCCTTCATGAGAGGCGCGCACAACGCCACCGCCTATGACTCTGCAGTCAGTAAGTACCTCGGCCTGCAGTGTCTCTCTGAAGACATGCCCCTGGAGGATGCCCCACAGCACTCTTGTGGGCTGTTACAAATAATTTAGCACCTTTACATACCGAACAATAGGGTATCATTTTAACACTATAAGCTACTATAATTTACTTGCCACTTATAAAGATAACTTTTTAAAAGTATGTTTTCTGATGTGAAAATAGTACTGTTTGTTAGAAAGAACTGTTTTGTAAGGGTTTAACCAAACTACTAGCTCTACAACAGAAAAAAATTGTAGTGTACACTCTGATTTTAGAGCATATCTTTTTTTGCAATTGCTACTCACATTAATCTGATTTTGTTGCTGTATTCCTGCACGGTGAATGCACTTGGTTACAACCCATTGAGGAATAGCCACGTGTCATTAACTGGGAGTTATGATCATCTAGCTTTTTGTGTGTTTTCATACTATTTGTTCTATTGAAAGTAGATGAACGTAGTTTCTATGGAAAGTACATACTATGTAGTACGTAAATCTAGTTTTATAGAAAGAATGTAAGCTCAATATGTCAACTTTATTCTCAGCTGGTTTCATGAAGTTTTAGATAAAGAATGTTCATCCTAATCTTAAAAAACAACAACAACAACAACAACAACACAAAATGAAGCATTGGTAGGTCATTTCAGAGAGAGCTTGTGGAACCAAAACCAGGAGCTCTTAACACTGTGACCAAAGATTGAAGTTCTCCATATGTTATAACCGTCACTCAATAATGCTGTATTTTCCTGAGGAGATAAAATATTTAATTGCTCATATCCATGATTCATGTTGTTGGAAAATAAATAAATGCCTCTCAAGTTAAAAAACAAACAGAACCCCCCCCCCCCCCCCCAAAAAAAAAAAACAAAAAAACAAAGAGTTGGTATAGAACTTGATAATGTTCTGTAAATAAACAGAGTAAAAAATATTTGTTTTTCAAAGAGAATACATAATCTTATATAATAAAAGGCTAATATGCAAATAGACTAAACGGCAGAACTACTGGTCACTATGACTTACACTGACCGCCAGGAGAAGATGCTCAATGCAGCAGCTGCCCCCTGGTGTCAGGGTGCTCCCACAGGGAGAGCCTCTCCTGCCTCAGTGTTGGGGAGGGGGGACAAGGCCAGCAGGGGAGGGCAGTTGTGGGGGGGGGAGACCCAGCCCTCAAGGGCTCCCAGACTGTGAAAGGGCTCAGGCGAGGCTGAGGGACCTCATCCTTTAACCCCCCGAGTGCACAAATTTCATGCACTGAGCCTCTAGTATATTTAATATTCTGAATAAACGTAAATTAATCAAGATTCTCCAGAGAGTCCTAGCTAGTTTGACTCAGTGGATAGAACATCAGCCTGCAGAGTGAAGGGTACTAAGTTTGATTCTGGTCAAGGGCAGGTACCTCTGTTGCAGGCTCCTCCCTGGCTTGGGTCCTGGTCAGGGCTCATGCAGGAGGCAACTGATTGTTGTGTTTCTCTCACATCTGTTTCTCCCTCTCTCTTCCACTCTCTCTAAAAATCAATGGAAAATGTCCTCGGGTAGGATTTAAAAAAAAAAAAAGGAAATAAAAATTCTCCATAGAATCAATAAAAAGAAGAGATATTGAGGAAGGGACTTTAAGGAATTGGCTTATGCAATTGTAGATGGTGACTAATCTGAAATCTGTAGGGCAAGCTGTAGGCTTGGAGAGTCAGATGAGTTGGTACTGCTGTCTTGAGTCTGAAGGCTAGAAACTGGTAAAATTTCTGCTTCAGTATTGAAGAGAATTCTTTCTTCTTCAGAAAACCACTGTCCTTGTTCTTAAAGCCTTCAACTGATTGATGAGACCCATCCTCATTATGGGGGATAATCTGCTGTACTTGTAGTCTACTGATTATAAATGGTAATCACATCTAGCTAGCACCTTTACAACGACATCTAAATGAGTATTTGACAGAACAACTGGGCATCATAGTCTAACCAAGTTGACACATAAAATTAACCATCACAGAACTTCCATTATTCATCTATTTTTCATCTTTCTTTAAAGTTATCTATTTCCATACATTATAATTTTTTTAAAGTATGTCAAAGGTTGTAGCATTTGGTGTTATCACAATATTAACAGGACATTTTATGGAGTAGCATGGGGTCTTCATGGAAAAGAGGTGACTCATCCACAGCTGTGCTTGTCCACCAAGGTTGCTGGCCACAATATGGTTGAAAGAATTGTGACTGCTGGTCTAACAAATGTGTGTGGCGTGGATACTCTTTCCATTAAAAACTGCATGAGGTGCTTGGCCAGTGTGGATCAGAGGGTTGGGCCTTATTCCACGCACTAAAAAATTGTCGGTTCAATTTCTGGACAGGGCACATGCCCAGGTTGTGGCCCGATCCCGGGTAGGGGTCATGCAGGAGGCAGCTGAACGATGTTTCACTCTCACGTTGACTTTTTTTCCTCTGACTCCCTCTTCCTTCCTGTCTCTCTAAAAAACAAACAAAACCTGCATAAGGAATCTCATTCACATTTGTTGGAACCTCCTGCATCCTGTGTTATGTGGACCTTCTCGCTGCTAAGAAAACAGATGGTATAGAAAGGAGTAGTGTAGAGCATTTTAAATTACAAAAAAGACATTCGTTTCCTGACATTCTTACTTTTATTAAATAAACTAAGAAATAGTATAGGATTGGCTTTCCAGATATTATCTATTTGCACACATATTAGTATTGTTATTGTTGATATTTATATGTTGAGCTCCTGAGATGAGGTAGTATTGTAGGCATTATGTTTTAAAGTGAATCCATCTGATTGAAAAGTCTGTACCTTCAGAAGATAGTGGAAAACTTGAAAAACAGGTAACATAATCCATGCATAATAATTATGATGGAGATGGATAGTAAATGCATGACAAAGTAATTACACTGCAATTGCAATTAGAACTATTATGTAGCACTGCATATAATTACTGTGTCATTTTTGGATCTAATAATAAAACCATATTCCAATTTTTTAAAAAAATTATCAAATTCCTCTTTGGCTCATTCACTTTATGCAATTTTATCAAATACTTTAAGTAAAAATGATAGATGGGAAGAGGTATGTCCTGCAACTGAGACAGTGTAATCACATACCATTTATCTTCATTATATCATACAATATCTGACATTATATTTGGATGATTTTTTAATTTGTTCTTTATCCAAGATAAGGGCACGGATTTCATGAGGTTTCTATCCTCCTGCAAGTATTTGTTTCCTAGTCACCGAGTCTTCACTGGACTTCGTGTGCATTATACATGACCAGTTTATCATTTGTAAAGTCTCATGTATCCTGTCTGGCAAATTATTGATAAAATAGCTTTGTATTTGTAGGAATCTCTTTCACAACCTGCGTGGAAAGAGTTCCAATTCAGGGTTCGGATTCTAGGGAAGGGCCACATGCAAAGAGACTTGAGACTTGAAGAAATTCAACTTGGCGATATGGGGGGCCAGGAGGTAGTCCAACTCTAGTGGAGAACTATTCCTGCCCGGGCCCCACCATCCCTTTTATTGAGGCTTGGGGGAAAACATCTTAGGCAAGATAAATAGAAATTTACATGTAGCCCTTAGGCAGGAAATAACAGAAACTTACACGGGACAAACAAGGTGGAGGCTGCTTCAGCTAACAATGTTTCAACTAAAGGGTGAGTGGTTAGACCAATTAAGGTTGTTGACCAGCCTTCCTGGCTTCCTGTCAACATCTCTTTATAGTGAAACTGATTTGTTTTCCAGTAGTATTCTCCTGAGTTTTTACAGTTACAGTTAGCCAAACTGAAATCAGCGAACATAATATAGTGCTGTGTGATATTTCTGGAAGGACTGCTTTAGAATCATTGGAGCTACTGATGAAGTTGTCTTATTTCCTAATACTGAGACTAAGACTGATTCAGAGAAACCACGTGACTGTCTTGACAGCTGCTCATTGCCAGAGCTGATCAAGGTTCAAGTGTCTGGATTTTGTATACTGATAATCTTATAAGCTATAGTGAATAAAAGAGCTAGTCTTTTAGTTTCATCTCAGTGAAAGAATAAATTAAACTAATGTTGATTTTTCCTACCTTTCTCTCTGATCCTGACCTGTGTATAATCAAGTCTAATCCAGTGTTTTCTTTATTTTTTAATATCAAATATATTAACTGGAATTCAATTATGCTCAAATCTATTATGTGAATGGCTGCCCAAGCCTACAGGGAGTGATCTAATGCTAAGTATTATATTTGAGGTAGGATTGTGTACTTTGAAGTCCATTAGACAATTACATTGCCTTTAATATCTTCCAAATTTAGATTTTCTGATTTGTCTCATGCTTAAAATCAGTCACAGTTCACTTATGTAGTTTCATTTGATAATGATGTGATGAACATAGATGCATTTTTTAGATAACTCAATCCCGAATGAGCTAATGATTTCTTTTGGATGCCGCCCCTCCCATCCTGCCCCATCCCAGCCTTTGACCACACCTCCACAACAGTCCTCCTTACACTTAACTGTAATTTCTTTCTTTCTTTTTTTTTTTTTTAAATATATATATTTTTATTGATTTCAGAGAGGAAGGAAGAAGGAGAGAAAGGAAATTATGGATCAGTTGCCTCCTGCAAGTCCCTCCACTGGGGAATGAGCCCACAACCTGAGCATGTGCCCATGATTGGAATCAAACCTGGAACCCTTCAGTTTGTAGGTGGACGCTCTATCCACAGAGCCAAACCAGCTAGGGCTTAATTATAATTTCTTCTTAACCTCAGTTTCCTCCTTATGAACTATTGCAATCCCTAGGCATAGACTGTACTCTCACATTTATATTCCCAGAAATTAATATAGTGTCCGGTGCTTAATAGATATTTGAAAAAATATTTGAAAAAAAATGACAATGCAAAAATTACGGATAGTATTTTCAATAGTTAAGTATTTTGATTTTAATTTTTGAAGTGGAACATTTTAAAAACTAATTTCATACTTGGCTTTTTCTCTTGA